TTCCAATGACTCCCTCGCTCTCCTCTCACGTCTAGACTGCGACTGAATGACCGACTGTTTAGTCGTTCAACAGCGTCGGTGAATTGCACATCATTTGTTTCATTTCACTTAGGCGGCGATCGCTTGCTGTCCGATACATTTAGGACAGTACTACCGTCTTCACCCGAATAGAACGCCCGGTCATTATCAGTGTATCTAGACTGAAAGTTGCACCAAATACAGCTATCATGACCGGGCSTTCTATTCGGGTGAAGACGGTAGTGTGAGTATGCCGTAAATCGATCGAGTTTGCAAACGCTTGTGACAAGCAGGACAAAAATACATTCGCAGAATGTCTCTGCAGCTCATGTGGCTTAATGGTACACGCATTGTAACCGTTGATAAACACATCATGAATTCTAAGACCCTGAGAAATACAATAACATTAGGCCGCCCCCCCCCCCCCCCATGAATAGAATTTTCGTGTATTTTGACAGGGTAGTTATGAAAAGAGATCACTGTGACAAGTTTTTCCAAAAAATTGTACATGATACGTCCTCGTAGGGTGCTTTGACCTTTTTGCAGTGCTTCGCCCCTTTAAAATCGTGCCTGGCTGCGTGTGTTTAGAGATTTTTTACCACAAATCATGTTTGCAATAAGTACCTGCGCATGCTACACGAATTCCCATTTCCCTAGCTAATATCTTAGTCACAACGAGAGAAGACAAACCTCCTGTACAATCTTGTTTCAATAAACACATCACGCGGTCGAGTCCTGATGAAATCAGATCGAACGAATACTCCACCCAATGAGAACAGAAACTATGCAGTTCATACATTCAACTCTGTACAATCTTGTTCCCGTCGCTTCTGTATGGATGCACTTCTGGTGGGTATAAATACATAGTTCCTCAGAATTGATGACTATTTCTTGATGTTTTCATAGTTCCTCCGAATGGTCTTTTGGCCATTTCACACTTCCGTTCCCCTTCGCGATTATTCGGGATAGGTACAAATACATGTCATCATGTATTTACCTTCGATCTGGGGTAAACACATCCACATACGTACGTCTTCTTTAGTAATAAGGTCAAAAAACTTTTCAACGTACCTTCGATCTCTGGGTATAAAGATGTCGACGACTTTACCATACTTCTGGAAGAGGGGCATTAGGTCATCGGCACTTGTTCCTGCATTTCATTGAAACCCCGTTTAAAACACCCACCACATACACACATAACAATAACACCAATCAATTGTTTAATTAATCATAGTTTGAGTAACAAAGCCACCCATGCGCAAAGATCGTTCCACGTATATAAGATTCAAAAGCATTTAAAAATCGTATTCCACGTATCAGATGTATTCCACGTATAAGATTCAAGAGCAAAGATCGTATTCCACGTATAAGATTCAAAAACATTTTAAAAAATCGTATTCCACGTACAAGATTCAAAAACATTTTAAAAAACAGTAAAAGAATATTAAAACGAATAGCCATCAATTAGTAAAGATCGTATTCCACGAATAAGATTCAAAAGCATTAAAAAAAATAAAAAAATAATAATAAAAAGCATTACAAAAATATTTCCCCTCTTGGCATCCAAAGTATCGTATCCTATCTACGGCTTCGATTCAAAGCATCGGATTATACATTCAAACTAATACATCCAAAGTATCGGATTCGATTTAAAGTATCGGATTCGATTCACAGTATCGGATTATATTCAGAGTATCGGATCAGATTCAAATCGGACAAAATTCAGAACACTAGATTCAACGTACCGTATCATACCCACGGTCCGATTCAAAGTATCGGACAAGATTCGAAGTATTAGTAGTTGCATCACAGATAGATGATCGTATCCACGGTCCACAATGAAAAAGAACTGCCGTCTTCACCCAAATAGAACACCCAGTAATTATGACCGTATCTGGACTGGAAGTTGCACCAAATACAGCTCTAATGACCTGGCGTTCTATTCGGGTCCAAGAGGGGTTGGTAGGGCAAAGATAACCAAGGTCGAGAATTTAAAAAAATAATAATGCCATTTTCCAGCAGTGGAACTTGTATCGTCATAGGACCTCGCTGCACTACTCTCGACATGCACAAAAGACAAAAATCATGCTCGACATGCACAAAACACAAAAATCATGGCGGTGTATCTTTCCATGTTTTCGCGGAAGATTCACTCTCGTTTTGCACATTTCGAAAGTAGTGGAGCGAGGCCCATAGAGAACTGCCCGGCGAATGGTAGTCAGAAAATGAGGGCAAGAAAATGAGGGAGTGTGACACACTGTTTCGTTGGAGTTTCATCGACACATCAAGAGGCTGAACCCTCTACAGTCTGTAGAGTTACCTATAACCTGTGCTACTATGAAGTGATATGAAGTGATATATATTGTCACACTGTAACTCTACAGTCTGTAGAGTTACCTATAACCTGTGATACTATGAAGTGATATGAAGTGATATATATTGTCACACTGTAAATCAGAGCGCGAAGGCGGAAAAAAGCAAAATAAGGAAAAGAAAGATAATCCAATTGTCACAACGCAAATAACACATCCCACAGATCAACATATTTTTTCTTTTTTCTTTTTTCCTTTTTTTCTTTTTTTCTTTTGTTCTTAATTTCTCTTTTTCGTTTTCTTTTTTTTTCTTTACCTGTCCCCACCTCGGCAGACAGGACAGCTACGGCGAGGATAATGTAGATGTTCAGAATGATGCCCAAGGACAGCTGCGCCAGCACAGCATTCAGCAGGACGGCTAGCACGAACCATCCCATCAAAGCAGTCCTGAGAGGACATGTTGTCCACATGTCAAAGAAACAGCAGGACGTTCATCACAGAACTAGACGTACATGTACTGACAGACTGGCCCGTGAGCGGTAGGCAGACGGAGAAGAGGACAAGAAAATAAGGGAGTGTGACACGCTGTTTTTTTTTTCGTCGGAGGTTCACTGACTCATCAAGAGGCTGAACCCTCTTACAGTCTGTAGAGTTCCCTAATCTGTGATACTATGGAGTGATACATATCCACAACTAGAAGCATATGTAGTGAAAGGATTTGCATTCATTACATCCGCAAAAAAGCATAAGATCTGACGAGACGGATTACCACAACTACCCCTGACGAGTACGCACATCTTCTCGTTCTGCCTCACGGTCAGTCAACTTCGCTCTTCTCTTTGATGTTTAAAATCCCCACGCCTCTTGCCGTCTTCCCCCAAGTGGAACGCACGGTCTTTATTGCGTACTTTCTAGTTCTACACTAAAAGCTGTGCCCCCCAATAGCCAAAATGAACCATCGTTTTTCACTTCATTCACTATCGACAAGTGTCAAGACCCTTTATCGCCGTATCTAGACTCAAAAGCTGCCCCGTATGGTGTGTGAATGCCGTTGTCCTTCACGACACTATACTACCGATGGTCATTTCTGTTCCACTGACCCCAACCGGCTCATCTACCTACGGACATTCTTCTTAATTACGCATTCGCCCGCCGCTTTTCGTCGCATTCACCCATCATTAGGTTGTTATCCAACTCTTCTTCGGGTCCTTCCAATGGGTCTTCTTCACAAAGACGGTAACTTATCCCGCTCTTCTTGTGGGTTGTGGGTCTTCTTGTGGGTTGTGGGTCTTCTTACGGGTCTTCTTCAAAGACCAGATAATTTTCCCGCTCTCTCCCTCTCCTAATGACTCGCGCAGTAATTGGACGTACGGAAAGAGGAGGGTGGGACAAGAAGAGAGCATGAAGAACCTGAAGAGAACAAGGCGGTACAAAGAACAGGTTACAAAAGTGATATGGAACGAAGTGGTACAAAAAATGGTACAGAAAGTGGTACAAAATGGTATAAAAGTGGAACAAACAGTGGTATGGAACAAGGTGGTATGGAACAAAGTGGTATGGAACAAAGTGGTACAAAAAGTGGTATAGAAAGTGGTACAGAAAGTGGTACAAAGAACAGGTTATAAAAGTGGTACAGAAAAGGGGTATAGAAGTGGAACAAAGTCGTACAAGAACACGTTATAAGAGAAATATGAGAACAGAAAGAAGTAAGACAACAAAAACAAACAAGAGAACGACGAGAGAAAAAGAAATTTTCTTTTTTTTGAAAAGGGGGTGGGGGGGGAGTCGGGTCGTTGAGAACGAGAGAGAGGAGGATGTGAAGACCAGCAAGAGAGCCGAAAAAGTATACGGCAGAAAGAATTCAGGGGTGTCGAAGAGAAATAACGAAGGAACGGAGGCAGGGATTCACACGAGTAAAACCCCCATTCCATACAGACGCCCGGACAAAAAATTGTCGAAGAGACGTGTTCATCGACGAACCATCCATATATGTATATGGATATATAGATGGATGCGATAACGGGTTGACAAACGGAGGCAAACGGGTTGAGAAACGGATACATCCCCTCGTGCACCTCCTCCTCGGTATACACGGCCTGCACGACAAGAGGACGAACATGGGCCAATCCAGAAGAATCCCCAAAACGCGTACCCCAAAACATGGGTCATGAAGGGAGCAGTAATAAGTGTACCCCAAAATACAGAAGTATGTCCACCCTCGGATATGCAAGGCCCCCCCCGCACGACACAAATATCTGTAACCGAATACATGCACCTTTTAGATGGGCGGGCACCGATTAGATCAGCGAAAAAAATAGGTCTCTCAACAAGATGGGCGGACACCGATTAGATCAGATCGAAAGAAAGGCACGCAGAAAGCGAGAGGACCAAAAGAGGGAGGTTGGAAGAGAGAGGGAAAAAGAAACAACGAACCAAAAGAACACAAAAGGGACAAAGAAACAAAGAACAGAAAGAAAACGCAACCCAGAGATGAAGACCAAGAGAGATTCTGGGTCAAGCACAGCCGCGTAAAAGATTCTGTGTACTCGAACGAGGGCTAAGTGATAACGGCAGAGAAAAAACGACGAGATGGAAGAGAGGAATAATCTAGGGGTGAGTTATGACGATGAACGCTTAGCAATGATGATGTGAACAAGGGGTAATCTATGGATTAACTAGGGACAATCGGGATAAACTACGAATTAACTAGGGATAATAGGGATAAACTATGGATTAACTAGGGATAATAGGGATAAACGATGGATTAACTAGGGATAATAAGGATAAACGATGGATTAACTAGGGATAGAGAGGTGGACTTTGTGAACAAGGGGTGATACGAACGCTTACCAATGACGATGAAGTTGGACAAGCCATGGATATGTGGATGGGGATAAACTAGGGGTGAATAAGGGATAAACTAGGGGGGAACTTGGGAAACACTACGGGTGAACTTGGAGGATGGATGATGATCGACAGGGCAAACAGGAGTGAATGGACATGAGACCACCGAAGAGGGAGCGGGATGGGGAAGGAGAACTGAGGAGGCTGCTACGAAGACAAAGATGAAGCGATGAAGCTGTGAAGATAGAAGAAGAGGCAGGTAGCAAGTGCACGAAATGAAACCCATCGCTGCCCAGTGCACCCTCTAGAGAACGTCAAAAACCCTTGAACAAGTCTGACGTCGACAAAGGGCAGGATTGAAATGGTCCGTCATCCCAGTCAGACATGCGTAATTCCGTTAGTGAATGACCGTTCGCCTGGACTCGAGAGAAACACGTGTAACGAGGGGGAACATAATCACGAGGTCTGCACGAGAGGAACATACTCATTGCACAACTGTAGTCCATGCCACGTGATAACTAACCAGAAATCACCATGGCGGCAACCACGTGGTACGCATCGCCTCCGCTAGTTCATTGATTGAACCGATCGTTGACAAACTACTGATTGATCGACTGGTTTAATAGATGACGTTGATTTACTGAATAACTAGTTTGTTATCCACCTGATCCGTTGATTAGTTGATTGGTTCATTGATTAGTAGTTGATTGATGGAGATTGATTCGTCGATCGGTGACTGGTTCGTTGCCTGATTGGTCGATTGATTGTTTGATTGATCGATTGGCTGATTGATTTTGTTTTGGTTAATTGGTCGATAGGTTGGTGCGCTGATTACTTCATTGATTGACGAGTGACGACCTCGGTGGAAGGGAAGGCACATATGAGAGGTAAAGCAACCAAAGAGAAAACCAGAGTGGTAAAGCAACCAACGAGCATACTTACTGAATGTGATATTCAGGACCAGCAAGGAATAGGTGTCCCGGATATCCGGCGGGCCAGACCGCCCGAAGTGGGACATGGTAGCCGCCTTCAGTTCGGATTCAATTGTTCAGCCGATAGCTAGTCCGGGGAATGAGTGGGCACTGAGTAACGACGGGTTGGTATCAGTCCAGATGACCTGTATCGTTCGGAGGACAAACGACCCGCCAACGCCTATGGTGATGATGATGATGATGATGATGATGATGGTCACAAGTGTTGTCACTGTAATAATGATGATGACGGAGAGGGCACGTAGTCGCCAATAGACTTGGCGATGAAGACGGCATGCGATTTCCTTCGCAAATGACGTGCCGTCAGTGCTCAACAGAAAATAAGAGAGGAACGCATGAAGGTCCAATCGTCCAGATGGGCGGCGCCTCCTCTACGCGCTCAGGACATTCGGTGGCGTCGCGGACATTCCGTGGCGCTATCTGAGGGTAAGCAGACCGGGTCCTGATATCGTTCCCGCCTCTGTGCATACACCGCACAGAGGTCGCTTCACCTCCTCCCTCTCTAACCTTCCTCTCAGTCCATGCCTCTCTCCATGCTTTTCCCCCACTGACCCCCCAGGTCAGTGTGCCTCTGCATCACTCCGTACCTCTCGCTGCTCGACACTCGTGCCTTTCGCCCTGCCCTTCGCATAGCCCTCTTTCTAATACGCCTCTCTCTCTCTCTCTCTCTCTCTCTCTCTCTCTCTCTCTCTCTCTCTCTCACACACACACACACACACACACACACACACACACACACACTCCAAACCACTGGCAAACGATCAAGATTCTCTCGCGCTACCCAGTTCCTCCATCAGTATCTATTATGCCTCCGTCCTTACCCTCCTATCGTTCTGTGTGCCTCTTTTTCTCGTGTAGTTAGCTCTGCACCGCCAATATATCCCACCAGTACACCTCTTGCTCCATCACGCCTCTTACATGCCCTCATTCAGCCTTCGCCGTCGCAAAGCGTGAGAAAACATCCCCGATTCCCAATGAAGGGATTTTCATTCTCACCTGGGTAGAATAGAAAATCCTGCAACCAACCAAAACGCCACGGGACCTACAGAGGCTGAGAGGCGGACTGATCGAGCACTTTTCGTACTCCTCCAGAGTCTACCACAGACCAGACCTGCTGCGCTCCTACCGTATGGTAGGGTTCCGACGGTGCCCGCCCTTGGGGTCCCTCGTCACAGGACGGTTCGCAGGACTACCAACAGTACTCCCAGCCAAGCTCCGCATCTACCGCAAACCAGACCAGCCGCGATACTGCCGGAAGGTAGGGTTCCAACGCTCGTCGCCCCCCTTCCACCGCACCTTCCCCTGCTTCTGACCGACAGTACTTCGCGCTCGAGAGCGGAGAGGTGGTCCCGGGCGGGGACTTCGGGAAATAGGGTTTAGCGTCGGGAAACGCAGCGCTAAGGGCATACTCACACGAGGATTATTTTATTGACTTACCGTCAGGGCAGGGGTGCGCAGCATGTAGTTCGCATCTCGTCAGGGTTGCGTTTCCCCCCCCTGAGATTGACTTACCGTGAGGGCACGGGTGCACAGCCCATAGTTTGTTTCGTTTTGGCTGTGGCGAGGCCCAGTGTGTGTATGCGTGTGTGTGTGTGTGTGTGTGTGTGTGTGTGTGTGTGTGTGTGTGTGTGAGAGAGAGAGAGAGAGAGAGAGAACATCTCTGTTTCTGAATCTCGCTCAGAACTGCTTCCAGATTTAGACAAAATCATCCTGGCCGATTGGGCCGAAGTGGGTGCTGGGCATGAGGTTGCAGGCCTGGGTCCACGCCCTTTCATATTTGAATTTCAAGGACCTGCGGCCCCCACGCCGTTTCAAAATATTTTAGACCATGGCCACCTACCGGTTCCCAGGAAAATGCCACGGGCAAATACCGGTCCTGCATTTGCTTGAACTGCGCCCCCCCCCCTAAATGCCAGTCCCTTTCACTTTACCAGCCTTTTAACGACCAATGGGTCCAAATGAACGACCGGTATAACGAACGACAATGAAAATGTCTCGGGGGGGGGAAACGCAACCCTGACGGACTGCGAACATTTTCGTCGTCGTTCGTTATACCGGTCGTTCGTTCGGGCCCATTGGTCGTTCAAAGACTGGTAAAATGAAAGGCACTGGCATTTAGAGGGGGGCGGGCAGTTCAAGCAAATGCAGAATCGGTATTTGCCCGTGGCATTTTCCTGGGAACCGGTAGGTGGCCGTGGTCTAAAATATTTTGAAACGGCATGGGGGCCGCAGGTCCTTGAAATTCAAATATGAAACCGCGTGGACCCATGCCTATTGACTTATCGTGAGGGCACGGGTGCGCAGCCCATAGTATGTATATGTTTGATTGGTGAAGGAGGTGATTTTGGTTAAGGTTTAAAAGTAGGGTGATTGTTGCATGATGTTTGTGTGGTACTTAGGGTGTTTGTGTGTATCAGATGTGTTAGTGTTGGAATGTGTGGGATTTAGGTAATTTGTATGGTATGAAACCACTAGTCCATGCTTATAGGCGTGACATACATGGTTGTGAAAAACGCACAAACGGTTATCGGGTAGCTGAAAATTCACGAATGAAAATTCTGAAGTGAGAGTTTTTGGCAGTCTGAACATCCTGAATGGTCTTAAAGTGGTGAAAGGTCCGAAGACCCTGAAAACCACCTGTTTAGGCAGGTTGCATCCTGAAGTGGTGAACGGTATCCTGAAGTAGTCAAGTGAGAGTTTTTGGCAGTCTGAATCGACTCTGAAAATCATGAATGGTCCTGAAGTGGTGAAAGGTCCGAAGACCATGAAAACCACCCTTCACCACTTGAGGATGCAGCCCGCCTAAACAGGTGGTTTTCAGGGTCTTCAGAGTTTTCACCACTTCAGGACCATTCAGTATTTTCATACGTGAATGGTCCTGAAGTGGTGAAAGGTCCGAAGACCCTAAAAACCACCTTTTTAGGCAGGCTGCATCCTGAAGTGGTGAACGGTGTCCTGAAGTGGTGATGAAAAATACGACTGTTGTTAACCTTCTCTCGAAAAACGGAGGGGTAAAAAAAAAAAGAATTCA